AGGTCCTTTGCTCATTTTTCAGTTGGATTGTTTGTCTTTTTGGTGTTGAGTTGTATAAGTTCTTTATATGCTGTTTTGGAAATTAACCCCTTATCAGATGTATCATTGGCAAAAATGTTCTCTCATACAATGTGTTCTCTTTTTCTTTGTTAGTGGTTTCTTTTGCAGTGTAAAAGCTTTTTAGTTTGATGTACTCCCGTTTGTTTATTTTTTCCTTTGTTTCCCTTGCCTAAGAGACATTTTGGCAAAAATACTGCTCTGAGAGATGTCTGAGATTTTACTACCTGTATATTCTAGGATTTTTATGGTTTCATGACTTAAATTTAAGTGTTTTATCCATTTTGAGTTTATTCTTGTGTATGGTGTAAGCTGGTGGTCTAGTTTCATTTTTTTTTGCATGTATCTGTCCAATTTTCTCAACACCATTTATTGAAGAGACTGTCTTTACTCCATTGTGTACTCTTACCTCCTTCATCAAATATTAATTGAGCATAATGGCTTGGGTCAATTTCTGGGGTCTCTGTTCTGTTCCATTGATCTATATGCCTGTTTTTGTACCAGTACCCGGCTGTTTTGATTACAATGGCTTTGATATCCAGTATTGTGATCCCTTCAACTGCATTCTTCTTTCTCAAGATTGCTGAGGCTCCATTCATGTAATTCAGCACATAAACTGATAAAAGGACAAAAAACAACATGCAAAAGACCATTTGATAAAATATTGATATTTATTCATGATTTTAAAATTAAAAAATAATGTGGGAAATTATTAATAGAATTCAATTTCTTTAATCTAATAAAGATTATGTCTGCAGCTAACAATTCATGGTAAAATATTGCAAGCTTCTCTTTTTGAGACCAGAGACAAGTCAAGGATGTTCACAGCACCCATTTTTTTCAACATTTTATTGGAGGTCTCACTAGGGCAGTAAGGTGAGAAAAAGAAATAAAAGGGGTAAGATTTAGAGAAGAAATAAAAGTCATTTTTCAAAAGTGTGGGCAAAAGAGGGTTCTACAGAAAGTAACCTCACAGGGTGATCTGAGCATAAATTCCTAAGTAGGCAGGTCTGGTGAGCAGTCTTGCCCCAGGCCCAAAGCTTCTTTAGTAAAAGGTTTATCTTTGCTTTCAGCAAGCCCTGTCCATCGTTCTTGTGCATGGAGGTTAACACACCTTTAACATGCCAGAGTAATTGTCTTTCCAGACCCCTGGGAAGCAACCACCCTCAAGGAAGCACATAATTTTGCTAACTATCCCATAATCCAATCCCTGCCTGGTTTTCCCCCACCTTCGTGTAATCTTCCTTTCATTCCCTCCTTAACTCCCAATGCATAAAAGAAGCTGTGGAGCCCTAGCCGGTATGGCTCAGTTGGCTGGGCATCACACGGAAAGGTCTGGGCACATGGCCGGGTTTCAGGCTCCATCCCTGGTGGGGGCTGTGCAGGAGGCAGCTGATCAATGTTGTGTTCTCACATGATGCTTCTCTCTTCTTCCTTCCTTCCTTTCTCTCTAAAAATCAATAAACTTTTTTTTTTTTAAGAAGAAGCTGCAAAACTGTCACTCTCCTGAGCATTTGAGATCTGGCTTCCTGGCAATTGTCAGTTTGGGCTCAAATAAATTCATAAAAATTATCTGTAAGTTCCTTATGACAACAAAGGTGATATAATTATGTATAGAGAAACCTCAAAATAGTTGACCACGATGTTATCCAAATGAACACGAAGATTTAGTGTTTGTATTAGAGACAAAATAAATATATTAAAAATATGTTTCCATACAACAACCCACTGAGTTAGTGGATGAAGCCACTAAGGGCAAGTTTTGCACTTGGGGGCGAGAAGCTGTTCTTAACATTCAGAGAGGAACCTATGGAAACAGGCCCTTCCTTGTGTGAGTGAGCTCCCCATCACCGGAAGGGTTCAAGCAGGGACAGGATGGGCTGCGTCCAGGGGTGCTGGGAAAGAACCTGGGCTCGAGTGAGAGGCTGGCCCTCCCCAGGCTGGACCTCAGCTCTTCTTACACTCAGCCCCCGGAGTGGCCTTTCTCCTCTCTTTTGGCTCCGCTCAGTCAACTTAATCCTTCTGGTAAACGCGTAAAACGCGCCAGGATTTATAACGCCAGGAAATGTTTGTAACAAGTCTTAATCTTATCGGGGTCGACTCCCCTCTCCCAGGCTCTGCTTTCAGAGAAAACCCACAACGGTTATTTCTCTTCCCCTTTCCCCTGCCCCAGCCCCAGCAGACTTACTTCCTAGTCCCGGTTTTCTGCGGGGCGCACAGCTCCCTGAGGGTGGTGGGTGTTGGGCTGGGGGCTTGTCCATAAGCACAAAGGGTAAAGCTCACTCTGTTCATAGGCTCCCTACTGCTAAGAGTCCTGGGTCTTCAACACCACAGACTCCGTTTACAGAGGCAAATCCTTGCACACAGTGCCACAGAGAGCACTTCCTAGGTGCCCAGGGTTGTGCTAAGGGCTGTATGCATTTGACTTCTCCAAGTCACCCATCCATCCCAGGAGGTGGGTCTATTACTAGCTCCCTGGGTCCCACAGTAAGTGGGACTTGGGACTGGAACATTGTAGGTTCAGACCACACATTCTGAAACCCCACGCTACCTGGTTTGAACAACACGCAGCAGTAGAGCTGCTCTCTTTGGAGTCAGGCAGCCTTGCACTTTCCAGCCACATGACCTTGGACCTCGGTTTTCTCACGTGCAGAATGGGGCGCAGAGGCATTTCTGCTTCTCGGGGTCATTGAGAAGGGTTATCAATGAATGAGATGGTGAATGTAAGGGCTCATCACACAGGGTGCTCCAGACATGTTGGTTGTGGTTATTGGCAGTTTCTGGGGTCTGGACTCTCCAAGCTCAGAGCTGGAGCCATGAGCTTGGGAGCTGAGGCAGCCCGATCCTGCCAGGGGAACGGCCATGGCCAAACCGGCACTACTTGCAGCTGGCGCACTGTGGACAGATGCAGAGAGGCGAGGCTGTTAATAAATCTGTCGGCTTCCAGGATGCCCCGCTGCGGGCCCCTGCTCTGACAGGCACCACAGGATGGGGGGTGGGGGAGGGTAGCTGGCAGCAGAACCAAGTGTTGGCTGAGCCGCTAGATAATCTGTAATGAACTGTCTCTTGAGCTAGAAGCATTAACCTTGCTCCCCCCAACCCCTGCCCCCCAGGCCTAGGCTCTGGGGTTAACCCCTTTCTTCCCAGCCCCAGGGGAGCTGAGAGCACAGCTTGTGTGAAGGAGGGCTATATTGATTATCTATTGCCACCTAAGAGATTACCCCCAAACCTAGCAGCTGGGAGTAACGAACATTAGCCCCGCAGCTTCTGTGTGGTGGGAATCTGCAAGTGGCTTCCATGGGTGGTTCTGACTCAAGGTTTTTCACGAGGTTGCAATCAAGGTGTTGTCCTTGGTGGCAGTCACCTCTCAAGGCTTGACGGGAGCGGGGGATCTGATTCCAAACTCACATAGCTGTTGGCAGTCCTCCCTCCCCAATAGCCATTCCCAAGAGCGGTCACACGGGCCTCCCCACAGGGCCACCTCTTCTTGTCAAGAAAGCTGGCCTCCCCCCACGCCAGCAATGAAGAGAGAGCAAGAGGGGCACCCACCATGGAAGGCACAGTCCCTTTATAACCCAGCCTCTTCATCCATCACTGCTGACATATTGTGTTTGTTCCCTGCAAGTCACTGAGTCCAATCCACTCAGGAGGGAATGACACAGGGTGTGAAAAACAGGAGTAGGGGACCATTGGGTCATCTCAGAAGCTGCTGCCTCGGGGGCTGCTCCTGGGACACACACAGACCTAAGTCCGGCTCACCTCCAGGTGCTCCTGCCCAGAGAGCCAGGAATTGGTCTCAACTCCTCATCCCACCTATTGCCAAGCCTTGTTGGTTCAATAACCTAAATAGCTCTCAAGTCTGACCACTTGCTCTCTCTTGACTGTCACGGCTCCAGCCAGGCCCCCATTGTATTGCACCTGGCTGTGGCCACCATGTCACCACTTCTGCACTTGTCCCCCTGCATATATTCTGCTCCCTTCGATCACCACCCATCCCTATCACCGTCATCTGAGTCTTCCTAATAATAGTCAGCGGAGTCTTTTCCGATTGGACCATGTCTTTCCTTGCTGAAAACCCTTCTGAGGCTTCCCACATTCTCAGCACGAAGACCCACGTTCTCTCCATAGACATCAAGACTCTGCGAGGTCTGGCTCACCTGAACCTCGACAGCCTCACCTCGAAACACTGTCTTCTTTCAGTGCCCTGAACGTGCTTTGTGCCCTCCTGGCACAGACTTGGCGCATGCTGTTCCTCTCCCAGGAATGCTTTTCTTGTCCCGTTCACTTAGGTGACCCCTCATCACCCTCTGGATCTTGGCTCAAGAGTTGCTTCCTTACACAAGCTGTCCCCATCCAGCCCTGACTTGGCGCAGTCTCCTGTTGAAAACGACCTCATGTCATAGCACTTTGCTAGGCACACTGTTCTCTATCTGATTGGTCCCTGTCTGTGTCCCCTCAACAACACTGTAAGTGCCACGAGGGCAGGGACTGTATATGGTTTTGCCAGCTGCATCCCTAGTGCCTATCACCAGTAGGTGCTTAAGAAACACCCATTGAACATTTAAAAAAAAATCCTCAGCCAAGGGTATGCTTTTTAAAAATTAATTTTAGAGAGGGAGGATGGGAGAGAAATATCGATGTGAGAGTTACATTGATCAGTTGCCTCCCATACACGCCCTAAGAAGGGATCAAACCCACCACCTCAGTATGTGTCTTGATCGGGAATCGAACCCGCAACCTTTTGGTGCATGGGTCGACACTCCAACCAACTGAGCCACCCTCCAGGGCACATCTGTTGAATTTTTAAAAAATTAAAATTCTTGTGATAAAACCACAACTTTAAAAAACACGAATTCATAGAGCGTGTCTGGGCGCTGGAAGGCGCGAGGCCCCGAGGGAAGGCGGCTGTGAGGATGGCGGTGAGAGGGCGGAGCGGCGTTCCCGCGGAGGCCGGTGCGGCGGTGCGGCGACGAGATGGCCTCCGTGGGGCCAACGCTGGTGCTGAGGCGGGAGCAGGTGATCGCCCACAGTCAGTATCAGAAGTCCCAGCGAATCTCCATCTTCCTGAGCATGCAGGACGAAATCGAGACCGACGAGATCATCAAGGACATCTTCCGCCGCGGCAAGACCTGCTTTATCCCCCGGTACCGGTTCCAGAGCAACCACATGGACATGGTGAGGTTGGCGTCGCCCGAGGAGATCGCTTCGCTTCCCAAAACATCCTGGAATATTCCTCAGCCCGGCGAGGACGAGGCGCGGGAGGACGCCTTGTCGACAGGTGAGCACGCGGTACCAGGATTGACATGCTCGGTGCTGGGAGACTGTGATGAGTTCTTAGACCTCTGTGCCGCGGGTGATGTTTGGGTCTTTGGGGGTCGCTTTCCCTGTCGGGACAAATTTGTGTTCTACTTGTATTCCACGACACCCACATTGCCTGACTTGGGGTGCCCTCTGTAAGCTGTGAGAGTCAGCTATAATAATCTCTAGTAAGGTATTAAGACTCTTGCCCTGCCCTGGCCGGTGTGGGAGTAGGGAGTGTGCAGGAGGCAGCTGATTGCTACTACGACACCTTCCTGAGGCGCTGTGAGCAGCTCCAGCAGGCGAGGCCCTACACCGTGGCCTTGGCGTTCAAGGAGCAGATCTGCGATCAGGTCCCCGTGGACGAACACGACATGAAGGTAGACGAAGTCCTCTACGAAGACACCCCCTGAGTCCCGCTCCCGCAGCCCGACACACGGGGTGCGGGCCTGAGAGAGGGGCACACAGAAGATGCACAAGTCCCGTCCGGGGTCCGTCAAAATTGCACACCACTGGGAACACGGGCTGCATTGTTTTATTATAATTATAAGATACATAACCCAAAACCACCTTTAAAAATTAATAGAACGGCCCTGGCCGGTTTGCCCTAGTGGATAGAGCGTCGGCCTGCGGACTGAAGGGTCCCAGGTTCGATTCCTGGTCAGGGCACATGCCTGGGTTGCGGGCTTGATCCCCAGTTTGGGGCATGCAGGAGGCAGCTGATCCATGATTCTGTCTCATCACGGATGTTTCTCTCTCTCTCCCTCTCCCTTCCTCTCTGAAATCAATAAAAAATATTTTTAAAAAATTTAAAAACAAAACAAAACAAAACACGAATTCATTACAACCACAGATCTCCAGGGCTCAAAGGGGGTTCAGAAACCTTTCCTTGTTTTTGGAAGAGGAAACTGAGGCCCAGGGACAGGGAAGGATTTCCCGGGCTGCAGGGTGAGTGAGAACAGAGAGGAGAAGCCAGTCCTCTGATGACCCCTCACCTGCCATTGTCCATCTGCCATAAGCCCCATTTGCCTATCACCACCTGAACTTCCCGCTGACACTTGGTAGATGCCAGCGATCACTTCCATTAGCCTTAAGGGCTGGGCACCTTCGGCAAAACCTCCTTTCTGGTAAATTCTTTTCTTAGTTTTGGAACTCCTTAAAAATGCATGACTGGTCCTGAAAACAGTCTTTTCACCCCAAATCAAGAACCAGCCCAGCTTTTGAAAAGTCAACATTTTGGGTTCCTCCCATATGGAGCCCTAACCATTTGAGTGTGCCAGGACGTGAGGTAATCTGGCCAATTGCAGAAGAAACTGAGGCCAGAGAAGGCCAGAGGCTTTCCCAAGGTCACACACATAATCAGTGGCAGGACAGGGACTAGATCCCGGGCCTCCCCTTCTCATGCCAGCGCTCCTGTCTCTACAGCCGGCGGCAAGTAGGGGACCAGATTAACTTGAAGGCACCTGCAAACTCTGATCCGAGACTAAGAGACCCTCCTCGGAAACGGGTCCTTCCTCAGACGATGGTCAGCTTTGCAGTCTTAGATCCTCTGCGGAGAGTAACTCTCGACTTGCAAAAGTGGCAACCTGGCGATTCAAAGCAAACAAGCAAATGCACTAATACTGTGAACAAACCGGTATTGCAAAAACAAAGTGGTATTGAAAAAATGCCCACCTGGTATTCAAATGACGTGCCAGTATTGAAAAAGAATGAGAGATTTTTACATACAAATCCAGGGTTTCCACCTTCTCAAAGAAAAATCAGACAATCTGGCAACACTTGCTCTGCCTCCTGTCATGCGGACACTTGGTTGAACTGCATAGCGGTTGTCACACACTCACCTGCCCACAGCTGCCCAAACTCCCTCCTTTCCGTTGCCTGCCCAGGCCACGAGGCATTAGAGTTTGTGGCATCTATTCTACTGGATTTGAGGCTCCCTGGGAAGTGGTCCCATAGGTTCTGTTTGATGTCTCCAGGGACAGGGAGCTCAATGCCAGTCTACTCCAAGACTGGTCAAGGAGATGGTGGTGGGGAGGGAGAGCTGGATTTGAATCACGGTGTATCTGAATCCATGAATAACAGGTCATGCCGGAATGTAATTCCAGAGCCTAATAAACTTTAATTGCCTCATAACCAGGTCTCTCTATGCTTGTTTTGGCTGAGGCAGGTACTAAAGCCACTCTTGGGAATGACTTGACAGACTTCTAGTCCATCGAAATGAAGTCCAGATGCCATTGCATTCAGGGCAAACCAGGGGCTAGGTCTGGATAGCCCTTTTGAAGTTGCAAGGCCAGCTGCCGCTGATATCAAAAAAGGGGTTGCAGGTCCACCTTTGGATTCTTGAGCAATGACAGCTCTCAAATTGCCTTTGTGACCTTGCCAGGAGCTGTCACCACCACCCATGTTTCATAATCTATGGGAGGAGTGAGGCGGGGGGGCAGGGGGGGTCTTCTAGCAATGTGAGGCCGCTGAGCACTTCATCAAGAGGCAGAAGCAGGGCAGATACTCTTAATCGAGTTCTTGGCAAGCGTCACACTGGAACTTTAAAATAGCGATGGCTTTGTTCCCACCACACTTATCAGTAACCATATCTCCATGCCAACAGAATCATTAGAGGCCAGGACTATTAGCTCTGGGAGGAACCAATGTGTTTTATCTTGTCCAACTCTCTACCGTCATCGAGAAGCTCCCTATAGCACCCTAGACAAGAAGGGTAGGCCAGCCCTGAAGAGCAACAAGTCTTCCTCAGGAGTCAGAAGCCCTCCCTACTAACACTTCCATCTCCTGCCCTCAGAGCAAAAGCCATGCTCACCTTCACCTACAGCCCATGGGCATCACCAGACTTGCCCTCCCCTTATCTGCAGACAATCCACTCCAGGACATCTATTCCTTCCTGGGGGGCCTTTAATTTAAATTTGAGCCTGGCCACCCTCCTGCAATTAGCCAGTGTCCCTCTTCAGCACCTGTACAACAGTTGTAACTTAAGAGGACATAGTTCTTGCTCCAGGACCTACAAGGAAGTAAGGCTGAGCCCAGCTGTGCCACATCCTAGGCTCACATGCCTAGTGTTTCACAGATTGTCTCATATCAGCAAACAGATTTTATTTATTTAACAAATACTTAGTTGGCTTAGCTTACTTTAGTGATATGATTCATTAAATCCCCATGACCTTCTAAGAGCGAGTCCATTATTCTCATCCCCAGTGTACAGATGCTAAAACCAAGACAAGGGAGGTGAAGCCACTCGGCCAAAATGCCAGTTAAGTGAGGACATGTGGACTTGGACGCAGATCACTGGAGTCTGGAGCTGGTGCTCGTTACCTGTCCTTGTCGTGATCAGTGTTGACATGGGGATGAAGGCCTCCAGGGAGACCAGGAAATACCCAGTCTTCCTGATAAGTCAGCCCCACCCTGACTTCTCTGCAGTGATGGAGTTGGGACTTCACTTGAGTTCCAAATTCAGGGCTCTTTGCTCCGGCCTAGAGCATGCGGAGTGGACTAATCTGATTTAACCGAAGTGGAATTCCCTAGGGTAGCAGTATCACCAGATCGTATTCAGAGGAGTGGCTGGCTTGGAGTCCACATGCGTATCTGACAGGACACAATTACCCAGCGGGTTCCTGGGCCAGGGAGAGAACTACCCAACCTAGGTATCTGATATTTAATTATTTTTTTATTTTTTATAACTGACAGTCATATGGGTATTCCCTTGTAGGTATTAATTAGATCCCACATATGAGTGAGATCTTGTGATACTTGTCTTTCTCTGACTGACTTATTTCACTTAACATGATACTCTCCAGGCCCCTCCATGCTGTCTCAGAGGGTAAGAGATTCTTCTTTTTCACTGCTGCATAGTATTCCATGGTGTAAATGTACCGCAGCATGTTTATCCACTCCTAGCTATTGTAAATTGTGCTGCTATGCACATAAGGGTGCACACATTCTTTCTGTAGGTATCTGATACTTTAAAAGTGCACAGGTCAGAAGACCCATTCCCCAGCACTACTCATAGGGGACCCAAGTCTTTCTGATTGAGGACCCCAAAATAAAATAAACAAAAGTTTATTTTAGGAACATGTTAGGAAATACATGGACACCTCATTAATTCATAGCCCAGTAATCTAGAAGTCATCATTAATCCAAATGTGGGCCTGTCTAGTTAGGCTTTTATTCGAATTTTTATCTTTATATACAATCAGTAGAGTTATCTTGGGAGGACACATGTTTACATTGTCCTCTAGGCCAGGGCATCCAGGGGTTAAGCATAAAGATTCCAGTAAACACCCGGGGGGGCGGGGTCTGCATATGCACAGGCTTGTTTGAAAGGTCAAGGAATAATTAGGGGTGCCGCCTTCGACACTCCCCTAAATCCCCTCTAAGTCTGGTTTCTGATAAACAGGGCAGGCAGTCTTCCACACACTTCCCTTTTCTCAGAATGTCCTCCTTACAATTTTCCAAGTCTCATGTGCTCCCCAACAATTCTACTTCATGCCTCTCCACTCTAGCTAACAGAAACTCTGTTCCCAGAGGTAGTGAGCTCTGGGAATTATTTGGCCTACTGCTTTCGTTTGTTCTTTCCCTGGTCTGATGGAGTTTCATCCCACACATGTCCTAATCAGAACTCACTTAAGGATCAAGATTTTCAGAGCTCTATCTCTGTGCAGCTACCTCTTCTTTGTTACTTCTCCCAGCAAATTCTAACCACATCAGTCTTCCTGAACTCTGATCTCTGTCTCCTCAATTCAGTGACACAGTGGGCCTCAGGCTCCCATCTCTGTGCTGCAGGTTGGAGGCACCTTCAGTGAGGAAAATGGGTAATCCCCTCTTCTGTCAGGCTCACAGTTCTCTGCTTCCTGATGTCCAGTGTCTGAAAACATTTGTTTTATAGATCTTATCTGCTTTTTTAGTTGTTTATGGTGGCGGGAAATTCCCATAGCACTCAATCCTTAATGGGTTGAACTTTATACTAGTTCTTTTCATTATTGGTTTATGTTTTAAAATATCATTTAACTAATAGATGGTGATTCATTAAAGATTGTTAGAGACCTTTAAGAAAATTGTGTTTGGAGTTAGTTCATTAATATTTCTGTTTTACAATTCTACCAGAAATCCAGGCTCTGTCAAGATTGTTATAAAATGTTGAGCTAGGAAATGATCTTCAAGGCTAACCCTATTGATCAAAAATTAATTTATTATAGGCATACCTTGGTTTATTGCATTTCACTTTATTGTACTTCACAGATATTGCAATTTTTACAAGCTGAAGGTATGTGGCAACCCTGGGTTGAGCAAGTCTAGTGGCACCATTTTTCCAACAGGCTCAGGTGATGCTTAGCATTTTTTAGCAATAGAGTATTTTTTAATCAGGTATGTACATTGCTTTTTTTTTTTTAGACATAATGCTATTGCA